AAAATTGTGTCAGTAATTATTCTCAACTGATGGGCATCAGTTGAGGTTTTCGATGCTGTGCTGGTGAGTAGGATAATAGCGAAGTGTACGTAGGTAGACTTGTACATGATTCTCTACTGTTGCATTTTTTGTTGCATTTCGTATTAATACCTGCACAGTACACGTCAACGTTCGTTGTATGCTCGTCTCGTTACGTACAGGTACGACGAACGTACGGTACAGTACGTTTGGTAACGTTAAGTAATAAAGACCAACCGTACGAGTACCGTACAATTGTACGAAGTACATCATATTATGATGTGTGACCGTGGACCGTTCGCCTGGCCTGCCCATAACGAAGTACAGGACGGGGTACAGTACTTCTACTTTGTACTGTACGTACGATATTTCTACTTTTATTGGGCACGATTCAAAAAAATACTTTCACAGCAACGGAAAAGTGTGAGCCTCCATCGGCCGCCTTGCTCTGTTTAAGATTCCAACGATCTGATTTTCCATTCAAAAAAACAAGCCTTTCTTGGGTTGCTGCTGCCATGGTACGAGCCCTTGATAAAATACAGTACGTACTGCCGGCATCGGTAATATCGTTCCCATCATCGATTTCTGTTCGACGGTGCAATACAGCAAGTTTGTTTGTGATTCTGGACTGACGCGTTCTGTCGTTCGCCTCTTGGCATTACGAAAAAGCCACCGAAGCCATTCGGGAAACGCAGCTATCGTTCATGCCCTGTCAAACGTAACCGGACCGACGACCAAACACCGAGAACGACTTCGTGCACGACAGTGGTCAATACACTACAAAAGAATCATAGATATCAGGGTCTCTTTCTCGAGCAACCATCATGAGTGACGTAGAGCTCGCAGAGCTGGGGGCGCTCGGAGAGTGGCTCTCGAGCTTTCCCCAGCTCGAAGAATACGTGTCCGACAAGGAAAACAACTTGTCGCTTCTCGAGGACGACAAGATTTTCAGGTCCAACCCCGCCATCAAGAGGTAAGAATCATAAATAGTAGGCACCGTTTCCCGCCTCGCAACGACTTCTTTCTCACTTCTCACCCAAACGTTCAACTCGCAAACCAACTCTCGGTGGCTGTTTCCAGTGCCATGCTGGAGGCCGTGGTAGAGGTATGCGACATCACGGACGTCTCGGTCACGGGCCTGAACGTGGCACCGGAGGTCGATGTATGGCTGACGGTTCTATCGCTGACTCGAAAGACCCCGTCCAACCGGCGAAAGAGCATCGATCCGCCCACCCAGCACTGGAAAGACTGCAACAAACACACCGCACTCGGCAACCTGCTCACCATCGCCGTTTCCCACAAGGACCTGCAACTCAGAAAGGCCTACATCGAGCGAATCATGATGCTCTCTCCGGCAACCCAGCGGCTGCTCATGTCCATGATCGAAAAACKGAAAAAAATGGGCAGCAGGAACAAGAAAACCACGACCCCGAGCACCAAAAAGAATCCCGAGCCACACACGCCGTCCGGGAGGTATGCTGCGGGTTCGCCTGCCTCTGCCACACCCAGCAAGAGGAGCGAGGCAGAGGCACGGTCGCACGAGCGCAAGAGGCCCGGGAGGAGTGGACTCGGTGGTTCCGGGCACTCGCCGTTCCAAACGGCTGAGAAAGCGGCGACGACGACCATGGCGGTCCGAAGCAGAACGCGAAGCACGTCGCCCCAGACTTTTTTGCGACGACCCACGGCCAACAAAGAGACCCCGGATCCGGAAGACACCAACCGCAGGACCTTCCGCAGTGCCTTTGGGAGTCCCCTGCAGCAGCCCTCGGCAAAACGAATACCGCCCCCATCGTCGGAACGGAACAGAAACGGGCGTCATCCTTCCAGGAACATTTTTTCGCCCGGACTGGGCGACACCGCCGAGTACGAGTCACAGGTCCAGGACCTGAGAGACGAAAACGAGGAACTGTCCTACGAACTGAAGAAAAGCCGCGAAAAAGAAGCTGAGGCTTCGACAAAAATTGAAGATCTGGAGGAGCATTACCGCAAGGAAATTCTTAGGGTCGAGAGGCAGGCGAGAGAGCGCGACGACGCCACGGCGCAGAAACACCTCGCCCAGATCACCCAGGTCGAGAAAAAGCTAAAAGAATTGTCGGAAGAATACACAACGGCACGCAAGGAGCGAGACGAGCTCGCCAAGATCAAAGACGAAATGGAGGTTATGTCTCGCAACAAAAAGCTACTCGAGGACACGACCGAACGCCTTAGAACCTATAAGGAAAAGGTCCAACAATTCACTGACGTCAAAGACGCGTTGCAGCGTGAGGAAGAGGCCCACAGCCGGTCCGTCGAAGAAAATCTACGCCTGCAAAACGAATTGAAAAACCTTCAGCCCCTGAAAAAACAACTGGAAGAATACAAGACTAGGGCGGTGGATGCGGAGGTGAGGCTTACCGAATGCCAAGACGAGTTCAACAAGTTGAAGGAAGAGAAGATCGCATCGTCCGAAATCAGCACACACATCGAACAGTACGTGATTGCGCAAGAGGTCGAGATTAAGGAACTGCGCAACAGGGTTCAGCAAAATGACGAGGCAAACAGAGAAAGCTCCGGCGTAGGGGACGGCATAAGCGAGTTGAATCCCGAATTAAAGCTGGAGATTCTGTCCCTTCGAAACGAAAACGAGCGGTTGCGGGCCTTTGCCGATAAGCGCCAGGACGATGCGGTGGCGAAGATGGAACAGAACGTGGAAGACCAAAACATGCTTGCGGAACGCTATAAATCTCAGTTCTTGTCAACTAAGGACAGGCTAGAGCTCACGGGGAGCAGCCTGGAGGAGTCGCAGAAACGAGAGGCAGCGCTCCGAAACGAAGTCAGCGACAAAACCGAGCTCGGAGAAAAATACAAGTCCCAGCTCATGGCCGCGAAGGAGGAACTGGCATCAACAGAAATATCCCTGAAAGATTCGATGAGCAGAGAAGCAAAGCTTCACGAAGAAATCAGCGATAAAACAAAGATTGGAGAACGGTTTAAGTCCCAATTCCTGGCCACGAAGAGCCAGCTGGAATCCACTCAGCGTTCCTTGCAGGACTCAAAAGGAAGAGAATCCTCTCTGAGGCAAGAAGTGGCCGACTCTCTGTTGAAAATCAAAAATACACAAGAGGAAGTCAAAGAAGTGTCGGACGAACTCTCCAAGTGCGCCGAAGATCTCAAAATGAGCATCGAGCGCGAGTCTAAATTGGAAGAGGAGCTCGCGTCGTGGACAATAGACGCAAAAGATCTGCAGCAAAAGTCGAACAACCTGTCTCTCGAGTTGACAAAGAAGGCAAACGAGCTAGAATACAGCCAAAAAAAGGAAAATACAGTGGCTGCAGAACTCACGGAACTGAAGAGCGAATTGCGTATGGTTCGAAAGCGCTGCACTAGCCTTGGAGACGAGCTACAGCATTGTACTCTTGAGTTGGAGCAGTCTCAATTCCGCGAGAGCAACGTTGAAGAGCGTGTGAAAGAATGGATGGAACGAGCAAAAGAATCAAAAGAGGAAGCCGAAAATCTTTCTTCCGAGCTCATGCAACGCACCGCAGATCTCAAAGAATCCAAGGAAAATACGGCGAGGCTCGAGAAACGTTTGTCAGAAAGCTCAGCATTGCACAAAGAAGCGGAGAGGGAAATCGACAAGCTGACCGAGAAACTAGGTGAGACCACCAAATCTCTGGAAAAAACGTGCAAGTCACTCGACCAGAGCATGCAACGATACCTCGATCTGCAGAACAATTTGTCAGACATGACAAACAGGGCAGAAGACGCTGAGGGCATTTCGGCACAGAGAATGGAGCTAGTCCAAAATACCCGAGAGCAGTTGGAGGCTGCCGAGCAAAAGATTGTCGATTTGGTCAAGGAAAAAGAAGATCTCGTCTCCTCTGTAGAAGCATTGGTTTCACAAACCAATGAAGCGAAAAATCTCAGAGAAAACCTGGAGGATGAATTGAAGAAAACTCAAGACTCGCTCAGAGATTCTGGAGAGAAACTCTCGGAAGCCCAAACTTCCATAGACGAAACGGCACGCTCTTTGGAAGATACAAAAGATAAGTTGCACCAAGCCGAAACCGTCAATAACCATCGAGAGAGCGAGATTGAAATCCTCAAATCAGAAAACGAGACCCTCAACGACAAGATATCACTCGATAAGCGTGCTATTGATGTGCTTCGAAACGACTTGCTCGAAGCAAAAAATATGCTTCAGCTTTCACGGGAAGCTGTAGCGGAAAAAGAGGCAAGGGAGAAATTGTTGAGTGAAAGTCTCCAGATTGCCGGAGATTCCGCCATGCAATTGGAGAATGAACTATTCCAGACGAAAGAAAGTTTGAGGTTTGCACAAGACAACAGGAAGGAAGCCGAAGCGAGGGAAGTTTCCTTGCACGAGCAGCTCAATGATTCGGAGACTTCGATTCAAAACCTCACGGTCAAATTGCTCAAGACGAACGAATGCCTGAAAACTTCACTAGAAAATATTAAGGAGATCGAAGACAGAGAAAGCTCGATGAAAGAACAGCTCAACGATGCAGAAGATTCGATCGCAAGTTTGAAGAATGAATTACTCGACATTCAAGGTTGTCTCGAGTCTACACAACAGAAAGCTAGTAAACTGGAATCAAGGTTGAATTTGTCAAACGGAGAACTCCAAGAAGCCAAACATGTAATATCTGAGTTGGAGGATTCGATAGCGAAAGAAGTAGGGGCTCAAGAGGAGATGTTAGCCACCCTCGAAGATTCAAAAGCCGAAAAAGAAAAAATGAAAAAAGAATTCGTTTCTCGCGAGGAAGAATTGTCACAAGCACTGAACTCCGAAAAAGAAAAAGGGAACAAGCTAAAGCAAGAAATTAGTCAAGGAAAAGAAGAATTAAATGCGTTGCAAATTTCTTTGAGCTCTTCCCAACATCGAGAGAAAATGTTGAAGCACGAACTTGTGAAGCTCGAAGATAAAAAACTTGGGTGTGAGGAGGAACTAGCCGCCATGAAGTCGAACATGGAGGAAATCGTCGAACAATCTGCAAAATCAGTGGCGTCGGTACGCGAAATAATGAAAGCCAAGGCTGAAAAGGAGCTAGAGGAACTTCGGCAGAGTATGAATGATCTCCTAGAAAATGAGGGCAAAGCAAAGCTTGAACAGGATATATTGTACAAAGAACAGATCAACAAGCTCAATCAGCAATACAACCAAGAGCTTTTGAGGTTGAAAGAAGGAGGCAACAGCGAGCTTCAAAAATGCACCGAAGAAAAGGACAAAGAAATCGAGGCAAAAGATAAAGAAATCGAAGGATTGAAAAGAGAACACGAAGAGAAGATCAAGGAACTAGAGAGGACAGGAAAGGAAGAAAAAGAAAAACTAATGGAAAGAGGAAAAGGCATGATGAGAGACCTGAAAGAAGAGAAAGAGAAGGAAATCAAGGACCTCACAGACGACGTCAACTTCCTAGAGCAAAAGATTATAGGAGAAGAAGAAGAGAAGATGCATCTAGGTCAGCAATTTCAAGCTAAAATCATTGAATACAAAAAGAAGTTGCAGGTTGCGGCAGGAAGAATCAACACACTTTCTACCAATAACGATGAATTTGAAGATAGAGTGAAATTATTAGAGAGGGAAAAATTCAAGCTTAGAGAAGAGAACGATAGATATCGCCGTCAACTCGGGGGTCGGACAGGATCTGATTCTGCTCTGCATAGTCAGCTAGAAACGCTTCAAAATGAGTTCCAAAATGCAATCGACGAGAATCGACAACTGAAACGAAAGCTACAAGGCCACAACATACACTCTTTGCATTCAATTGGAGAAGACAGCCGTTCGACGCCTTACACAAGAAATCGAGGCAACCAATCAACTTTACTTCAGCTTCGAGTAGAATACGAAGAAACAATAGAATCTTTGAACGACGAAAAGCGCGAACTTATAATGAAAAATTCAGCAGCAATAACTGACGTACAAAAAGCCGAGAAGCGGGCGTGGTTGGTTGAGCAGGACAATGCGATACTGAAACAAGATCTAACCTCACTGCAACTTTCAAATGAACGGTTAGAGAAAGCTTTGGAAGATATTTATCGAGAGAATAGCGTTCCGGGTCATGCCTTGCTCAGTCAAAATAATACGACAGAGTCCGAGGACTCATCTATCATTCCCAGCCCTCCAAGTGAAGAAAGAAAGTCTCAATTTGACGACGCGACAATGACCTCTGACCGAGTAAAAATACGATCAACAGAAAACTCTGTTCTCCAGACTAAGTCAGCATATACAAATGGATCAGGTGAGCTCATGAATTACGACTTGACGTCAACAGATTATGATACGAAGCGCTCTATACAATCTACGTCGTATGATTCTCCCTACAGAACTTGGTCTCCCAGATAAGGTCCAAGTCGTAAATGGGATTTCGAATATGAATATAACTATAACCTTAATCTAAATTGTACAATACTATAATCCTGTAATGTAAATCTATTATACCATTAGCTCGATCCCTACTTCGTTTGAATTTGCAAATTCGGGTCTCCAGTCGTAAACAACCATCCCCAATCCATCTTCTATGTAGCATGCTTTCACATCGTTTTGCCAGAAAAAGAACTTGGGCTTTCCGGCTTCATCCAATTTCGGCTTCAATCCTTCTTTCATCACTTGCTCGTACAGCTTTTTGCGAATTCCTGAAATTTCCTCGTCTTGGACATTGCCTCCGTACTTAATGGTGGCAACTTGACGAAGCGGTTGCCAAACATAATTACACTCAGGAAAGGCACCCTCTTCGGCATCCTCGTCATCCTCCGCAGGTAAGAGAAGGTTTTTGTTGAGAGCTTGGAACTGGGTTGAGAGAGGAATGGACCATGATAGGAGCAATCTATCATCTGATTCCTTGCCATCTTCAGCATTGTCGTTTTGACTCCTGTCGTTCCTTCCGATCTTGACTTCAATCGGTGTCGTTGGTACGTAAATGTCCCTATCATCTTTTGGACCCATGGTTCGGATAACGCATGTAAAGGAGTGATTGGGTACCATTTGTGCGTTGCGATTGTCTCGTGTCCCCGTCTCGATGAGAGACGGTGCAGTCACCAATTGAGGAGGAATTTGGTACACCGCCATTCCTCCTTTTTGAGATATAACCTTCCTAGGCACTTGCTCTGCCGATGGAGTCATACCAATGTGGTACCAGTCCCAGAACCGTGGAGTGATTTGACCTCCAAGCAGCGAGAGCAACGCAGCATTGTTGTCCGCTCCGAAAATGCGATCTACTTGCTTCGTGATTGTTACTTTATCGGAGGCGGTTGTGACCGTTGAGGAACCAGAAAGAACAACTCGCGGTGACCAGAATGTGGGCCATACTACGGAGAGCTCCCAAGACAATTCTGAGACACCTTCTGATACTCTCCTTCCGCCAACAATGGCCAAATCAATGTTTTGATAAAAGTTCTTGGCAGCCCTGATTTCTTCGAATGGATTTGTTGACGAGACTGTCATAGGTGTGTCCCATGACAAGGACCTTCCAAAGTTAACATCAGGAAAATCCAACTTCTGCTGGTCGCTTTCCGAGTCCTTTTGGTTCCTTTTTAGAAGCCTGTTTAACTTTTTGTTGTCGCTGTACAAGACCTCGTTTATTTGTGCTTGCAGAGATTGGGCCATGGAAGCGACCTCAACCGAGTCAAAGGCACCAACACCCAGAGAGAAGCGGTTGTATGACGTCGCCTTTAGTTCAATGCCCTTTCCCGCCTCTCGTTCGGCTACAGGGTCGTATAATTCTTCTTTTTGCTTGTTTCCTCCAAAAAATTCGGCTCCGCCGATTCCTGCTGGACCATCTTCTTCATCTTCATTAACCGAAGAAGTCTGTGGCTTGTCTTCCACAGAAGAAAACAATGGAGCTTTCCTTCCGCATATTCGATGTTGAGTGGTGGGTGATGAAAAACCGTCGACGACGATTCTTGGAATCCACACAGAGAGGAGAATCAGCGCAAATTGCGATATTCTAACTTGACGAAGCGTTGACATTATGCTACGATGGCGCTTTCTTTGCTGCTGCTGCCTTCGAGTTCGCTTTTCGATCTGGTTGAAGTAGTGTCCTCCAATTTTGTCTTCCAAGAACAGATTTCTTCCAATACGGATGATGGTTGCTCGGAATAATCCTGTGTCACTTCGGGGTTGTCAACCACCAAAAATTGTTTCCGTAGAAGGTGTTGCTTGTACCGGCCGGTACTACGCCCATCACCTCCGTTGAGGAGTGCTTTAACGAAGTGCATCATTCATAACGAAACCGGACGATTGCAGATTTTGCCAACGACAACATCAACGTGCGGAATTTGAGACTGTGTCAGTCTTTACGAATATTTTCCACCTGGAAGCAAAATTCGTCGTACTCCTTGGATCGACTCGTTGGATTGAGACCATGCATCAAACGGGAGAAGAGAATGACGCCTTTGCTGCAGAACAAACAGAAGGGAATGGCCTACGGTGCCGTACGGTACCGTACTAGCAGTACGAGTTTGTGGTGTAAAATATCGCGTCCGGTTTATAACAGGTAATGAGTACAATAAATGCGCCAGTTTTCTAGCAGTGAGCCCCTGTCTTTGCTTGCTTATTATTGCTAGCAAAGCGCCAATCAGAGATCGAGAATCCATTAGTCGGAAAGAGTTTTCTTTTCTCTTCACAACCAATGTGCGGCTTGTTGATTTCTCTCCTCACCGAAAACTTGAAAAAACTCTCATTTAATCAACCTCATCATAGGGACCTGTCACCTGTTTAGTTCAACACTTTAACCAACACTAACAGCGCAGTTGATATACAAGACCTCTTCATTATAATAAGAGGAAGGTGATCCGGAAGTAGCAGATCAATCAACCAAGTGGTTTAGGACGACGAGGAATCGCTGTATTCAACAAGCAACGAGGAAATTGACAAAAAATCGCAACAAAAAACAAGTTGCAGTGTAACAAAACAAAAGAGACCATCTTCCCCTCCATAACAGAGACAACCAGTGTGTTGGACATCCTTAATATATCAAATTAGAGTTGATCCAGAAGTTGCAGATTGATCGACTTAGTATTTTGAAAGAAAAAGCAGTTTTTACTGTATTTTGGCTGGAAAATGAGCAACAACAACAACAACAACAACAACAACNAACAACAACAACAACAACAACAACAACAACAACAACAACAACAACAACAACAACAACAACAACAACAACAACAACAACAACAACAACAACAACAAAACAACAACAACAACAACAACAACAGCTGCACAAGCAACACCACCATCACCACAGCAGCCAATGGATCTGTTCAAAATGGATACGCGATTGCACCATGTCCTAGGACTCTTGCTGCTGCTGGTACTATGAACCTATTTGCCATGAGGACCCAGGGGCTGCAGTGCACTGTGAAAAAAGCAATGCAATTTTCTGACTTTTCAGATGAGGAGGCAAGCAGCAAAACACTGCAAAGAAGAGTACAGAGATGCTCTGAAAGAATTAAGGCACCGCCCTGTGAGTATGGTGCCCCACCATTGCCACCAACAAAGGTCTCCAGTATCACCACAGAGGAAGAAGAAAGAAAATCTCCCCCCCTTGTCTGATATTACAAACAATAACAACAAAAACAACAAGCAACCCAACCTTGGGAGGGAGGAGGATCAAGTGGAGAAGAAGCTGAAAAGGGATACAGCTTTACAGTATCATACAAGACTAAAGAAGGATTTCAAGGAGGCTGAGGTTGAAAAGAAGGCCTACATGATAGTAATTTCAAAGGTGAAGTACCAACAATCAAATTTTCCTAAGCCATTCTTGCATAGGTCTATTGCAAAAATTGTAAGAGAAACCAACATGATTTATCATGCAAATCTAAAGGCAGATACGGTGCAGAGACGGCTTTGGCTGGGCTTGGAAGAAACCCCCCCTAAGAAGGGTCGAAAGGTAGTTCTTCCTGAAAAGATTGAAACAGCTTTTATTAATGCGATGACTTCCATAGTGAATCTCGGCTGTTCAGATATGAACGATCAACCAAAACACCCAGAACTACTCTGAATGCTACTTGCGTGGTGCCTCAAAAGTGGACCAACAGTACTGCAAGACCAGCATTCGCTGTTCAAACTATTGTATAAAGTTGTTTGCGATAAAGTAAAAATTGTCACTGGTCATTCTAAGATGGAAGAAAGACGAGCCCAGTGGACAACATATAATAAGATTAACACCTTCTTTGATTCACTGCATGAAAAGCTTGTTGACCTTGGATTTGCTTGAGTACAAATGGATGGCAAAGACGGTGAAGGTGAACTGGTGTTCCTTCCAAACCAGTTGAATCAAATTGTAAATCTTGACAAAAGTGGTTTGACTTTGGACAGCTGTTCCTTTCTAGCTAGAGGTCAAGCATCCACTAGGTGCGGGCCTGCCAGCAAGAACATTGCCTGTGGTGCCAATCGCACAAACAAGAGCAGCGCACAAACCACTCTTGTTGCTGGAAGAAATGTGGCTGGATTTCCTTCAACTGAAGTCGACAGCAAAGAAGGAGGAAGATGACAAGAGAATCCACACAGCTTTTATTGCCAGCGTCCCAAAAACGGAGGGTGTCTATGGTTGTATTGGACGGCTTATGAAACTGCAGGAATGAACGCTGAACAATTTTTTATATATATCGAAGACAACAACCTAGTAGTAATGAAGCTCTCATTTCCAGATGCAGCTGATATCCCAGGACAGCAAGTCCTTTTAATCCTGGAGAGTGGTCCGGGAAGAAAATGCGAAGAGTTGCTGGTGAAGCTTCGTGCAAAAGGCTTTTATCTTCTTCCTGGTGTGCCCAATACAACGTATGTGACTCAACCAACAGACAGAAACTATGGACCATTCAAATCAATGTACAGACAAAATTTGGAAAAGCTTGTTGTGTTGCACCGTCAAAAAAATGGGGAAAAGGTCCATCAGACTGATTTTCCACCACTTGTTTTTGGAAAGCAAAAAAATTGGTATGAACAGGCACAACTTGAGCATGCCTTTCACAAAGCTTTTGCAGTTGAGAAGACAAAGGTGGTATGGGCCAAGATTGGGATTGTGCCTTTTATGAGACAATGCCTTGACAGCCAGAAAGTTGCTCACAAAATAATTATGCTTCCAGATGGTAGCATTGATAGTGACGCTGATCCTAAGATGGCTGTGCTTGTTGAATGGGAACATGGTAATGATACGGCAATCCAAGTACTAAATGATGCTGGATTTAATGGAGAGATTTACTGCAGGTATGCCCCAAGGCTATCAGCTTCTGCAACACCAGTGATGAACAAGAAGGGAACGGCAAAATGCAATTGGGACTATAAAATACTCTAGTGAGCATTTTATTACTAGGACCAAAGGCGACACACTAAACAGCGACGACTACTTCAATAATGCTGAAGAAAGAAAGAGGTGACAGCAGCTTGTTAAGGACCTAGAAACAGTGAAGAAGAAATCCCAAGCAGTTAGTGAGTTGAATGCAAAGGCGACTGCAGTGATTCAGGAATTGGTGTCAAAGGGGAAAGATGTTTACAAGGAGGAAGATGCCAAGTCACTTCCAGTGTCAACACTCAAACTGTTGTGCCAGTGGAAACAACAGAAGAAGATCCCTGCAAAGAAAGACAGTGTATTTGGTATGTGGAAGCAAGTCAGGAATCTCCCTCCTGCAGAGCCTTCCTGGAGGGACTCTGATGAAGCTCAAATGCAGAACCTGAAGGAAGAAGACATCACAATCAGGGATACTGCTCTAGGAAAGGAAAGAGCAAGGCTCCAAAAAGAATCCCTGAACTAGTACATTGCAAGCATGACTGAAGAAGAGAAAGCTGCATGCAATATGCCTGTTAATGTGCTTGAGGGACTGAAGGAAATGGTTGTTGGTGAAGTTGCTGAAGTGTAAGAGCAGTTTCCAGTAGTTAGCGCCTTAGAGACGAGCGCTCCAGTAGTAAGTGATTTATGTTAAGCGAAATCTGTTCTTGGAATCAATTTTGATTTTGATTTTAATTTTAATTTTATTCCATGCTAATAAGCAGTGTTGGAAATTGATTTTGTTTCGCTGATCTGAATTCTGAGAAAAAAAAAGTGAGCTGGGAAATCAGAGCAGTTTCCAGTAGTTAGCACCTTAAAGACGAGCGCTCAAGCGCTCTAGTAGTAGTAGTAGTAGTAGTAGACCCTATCAAGCAATATCCAAGTGGTTGTTCTCCTCATCAATTTTACTAGATGTGTTCGTTGAATTTTTGCTTTCAATGGAGGAGGCGATACAAAAAAAGTAGTACAAGTAAATCATATAATTTGTTGTACAGAAGTAGAAGAATGGTAGTAATTATCATGACGACTTATTTAGTCTTGGTATGAACAATCTTTTTGCTTTCCTTCCAAACTCTTCGTCTCGTGCATATGGATAATATCTCCGTATGATTTTACTTTTGAGACTTTAACAAGCACTTTAGTTATTTCTCGGTAGATCTCTTCTTAAATGATTTGAGTATTTTGACATCTCTTCCTGTATTCAACTGCAAGTGTTCTGATTTTTTTACAATTCGGCTTGAAGCCTTGGTTCTGTCGCTGTCTTTCTGATTACCTTTCTGTAGATTTAAATAGTGTGTAAAAAAGCATTTCTTGCAGAGCATTTGGCGTAGCAAGATGATTTTTCTCTGCTCCGTGTGCTTAACAATGTCTTGACAAACCGGACAGTTCTTCGAAACCTTACCACCATGGCTACTTTCGCTGTTTTCATCGTCATCGTCATCGCTCCACACGGAAGTTTCTCCATCACGGTCATCATCTTCCTCATCTGTTTCATCGTCCGACGCATTGTACATATCGATCAAGCGACTACTTGACCACATCCTTTGTAATCCAGAGGGTGGTGATGGATTTTTTTCCTTCACCAAATTTTTTAGTCGCTCCATTGCTAATATTGCCAGAACCCCCTGTTTCAAGCGAGATTTTGATAGACGTTTGCGTCTGGTGCTGCCGTCGCGTTCAGTGTCGGAACCAGGATTTTCTTCCTTGTTTCCGGTTTGTTGTTTTGTATCTAGTGATGAGACTGTGTCTGAGCTTGCATCCAAAATATGGCTTGCATCTATCTCGATTGTTTTTTCACGATGTTGTTCAT